ATACCATCCTGAAATCATGAGAAAACTTCAATTGTCCACAAGTACACGATCTCCTAAAGGTGCCCTCTACCATGCCCCATGCTTTCTGGGGACCTACCTGTCTGCACGCTTAGGGTTAAGGATGACAAGGCAATTTTCCTGTTTGCCTAAAAAATATGGTATTAATGCAATAATACTACCTTAGACAATTATACAGTCCAGACCAAAGGCAAATGAAAATGTGTTTTGCTAATCCCCAGTGAGTGGAAGATTATCTGTTACAACTTCCTCCAAGCCATCCTCTTAAGGAATAAAAAGGTCACAGACTAAAGCTGGTAAGCAATGCTCACAGGCTGTAACTTCCTATATTTATTGTCCTGAGGCAATTACCATCAGGATCACTGGCCTGGTGTCAGCAAAAAAAAAAGGAGCATCATAAACAAACCAGGGCCCAGGTAGTGGGGGCAGAGGGTTTCCAGGAGGTGGCATAGACAGCTTTGGAGGCAGACCCACCTGGGTCCAAGCCTCAGCTCAACCACTGCCCATCTGTATGACCTAAACGGGTTGTTGCATAATCTCTCTCTGTCTCACTTTCCTCATTGTAAAATGGAGATAATAATAACCTGCCTTGTCAGACTGGAATGAAGATAATGGACTAAAATGCTTAGCCCTCTCTCTATATAAAATTCTTTTTTGGAAGACAAATTCCACTGGAATACTTAAAGTAAACAAATGGGACTACATCAAATTAAAAAGCTTCTGCAGGGAGGGAGACGCAAGAGGGAAGAGATATGGGAACATATGTATATGTATAACTGATTCACTTTGTTATAAAGCAAAAACTAACACACCATTGTAAAGCAATTATACCCCAATAAAGATGTTAAAAAAATAAATAAATAAAAAGCTTCTGCACAGCAAAGGAAACCATCGACAAAATGAAAAGGCAATATGTGGAAAAGAGAGAAATATCTGCAAATCATATATCTGATAAGGGGTCAATATCCAAAATACGTAACAAACTCACACAACTCAATAGAAAGAAAAGAGAAAAAAGCCCAATTTTAAAAATGGGCAGAGAAAGTGCATAGACATTTTTCCAAAGAAGACATACAAATAGCCAACACGTATACGACTAATCAACATCACTAACCATCAGGGAAATGCAAGTTAAAACCATAGTGAGAAATCACCTCACACCTGTTAGAATGGTTATTATCAAAAACAAAAAAAGAGAGAGATAAGTGCTGGTAAGGATGTGAAGAAAAGAGAGCCCTCATACACTGTCGGTGGGAATATAAATTGGTATAGGCACTATGGAGAACAGCATGAAGGTTCCTCAAAAAATCAAAAATGGAACTACAATAAGGATCCAACCGTCCCACTTCTGGGTATATATCCAAAGGAAATGAAAACAGGATATCGAAGAGGTATCTGTATTCCCATATCCACTGCAGCATTATTCACAACTGCCAAGATATGGAAACAACTTAAGTGATGTCAACGTATGAAGGGATAAAGAAGATGTGGTAGATATATACAATAGAATATTATTCAGCCATGAGAAGGAAGGAAATCCTGCCATTTGCAACAACATGGATGAACCGTGAGGGCACCATGCTAAGGGAAACAAGTCAGACAGAGAAAGACAAATACTGCATGGAATCATTTATCCGTGGAATCTTAAAAGAAAGTCAAACTCATTGAAACAGAGAGTAGCAAAAATGGTTGCCAGGGGCTGAAGGGTTGGGGGAAATAGAAAGAAGTAAGTAAAAGGGTACAACATTTCAGGTTATAAAATGACTAGGTCTCAGGATCTAATGTAAAGTATGGTGACTTAGTTGATAGCACGGTATTGTATAATTGAAATTTGCTACGAAAGTAGAATTTAAATGTTTTCACCAAATAAATAAATAGCGATGATGGATATGTTAATTAACAGGATGGGAATCCTTTCACAATGTATATGTATATCAAATGAACATGACATATGCTTAAATGTCTTACAATTTTGTTTGTCAATTACACCTCCGTAAAGCTGAAAAATACACAATTCACTTTTTATTTTGTATTTTCTCTCTCTGTGTCTGAGACATCACCCTGAAATATGAAAGTTTCTGGGGCAGAATTTGAACTTGTAAATAGCTGAATCTTAACTTTCTCTAAGGCATTTGCATGCTATGCTTCTGCTGAACACTGCTCAACAATGTGACATTTTTACCCCCTGTGATGAAAAACAGAAGTTAATGGCCCAATAAGCAAATGAAGACAATTTCAGAAAATGGGCTTGGATAACATGAGAAAAGCAGGGGAGGTGCCTTCCTGAGGATCTTAGTAGAGAATCACAAGCATCTATCAGTTACAGAATATGTTAGCTTGTCCAGCCAGGGCTGGAGAATTTTTCTTCTTTAAAATTACAGGTGATATTTTACCTGTGTCAGAGGAAGGGAGACCACCTCACATACAAGGGAAAGTCATTAACTAAGAACATGCACAAGTTTCGAAAATTAGTCACCGGTTACCACGGTAACACAAATATCACCTAACAACTCACTGGGCTGTAAGTAACCAAGATGATGCTAAATACATTACTTAAAAAAAGGGGGGGGGGGCGGAAATGGGCTCTATTTTTAAGAATACTTGCAAAGAACTAGATGGACCTAACCGCAGACTGAAGGCGGCCCAGGTTTGCCCCTGTGGACCCAGAATTCAAGATCCATCTCCTGCCCTTTGTGTGTCACGTTCTGTGTCACATGCATACACTGTGCTCAGTGACAGCTGTAGGAAGAACAGTGATAACATTTTACTTACAAACAAAGAGCTGCAATTGGGAAAATGAGCCTCCTCATTCCCTAAACTTTTAGTAAAGGAAGAATCCTCACTACTGGCCAATGAAGAGAGACAGATTGATGACAGATTTAGGTGGCAGTCCCTTTAAATTCAACATTCAGGATTTCCTCAGGCCAAACAAGATCTCTCAGAAAATAACTAGGATGCCCAATAAAATAATAAGTTTCCCATTGTTCTGAGTAGTTTGAATTTTCTGATATTAATGTTAATATCAGAAAATTAGATATTAATGTTAGATATTAATGTTAATTAGAGTAAAAGCATAAATAGTATATGAATTTTTAAATTATTCTATGAATTGGCCGCACACAAACACCCTCCTAAATGAAACTTAGCACTTGACCTCTGTTCATAGTGCACAGTGCCTGGGACACTCGGGTCCCATCTCTTCAGAAAAGTGGCCCCAGAGCAGTGCTCCTCCAAGTGGTCCCTGGGTACCTGCATCAGAATTCCACAGCGGGCTCTTAAACTGCAAAATCCTAGGCCATATCCAAGGCTTGCTCATTCTGAGTCTCTGGGGTTGCGATCTGAAAAACCTACATTTTTAAATGATTCTCCCTGTGATGCTTATGTTCTCTAGTCTGAGAATTCCATCCTTAGTAAAATCACCAATACATTGAGGTCTCCTGAGAATGATGAAAGAAGACAGGACAGCCACCAGGGGACACAAGCCAATACAGTTAATCAAAGGCAGAGTTAACTGTGACTCAACGGCTTTTGGGGCACAGCCTAGGGTAAAAAACTAGCACAATATACTAGTATTATATACAGGTGTGTGTGTGACATAAGTTTCTCAGAAACAACACAGGTGATGTACTGTGACCTATTCTACTCTATTATATTCCAATTTTTAATGCTATGAACACCCACTAAATTGATTTCACTACCCATTAAATGGTGATGTTTGAAAAACACTATTATAACTTCTGTTGTCCTATAATTTTATCACTTAATAATTTTTAAACTTTTTCATATTATATCCTAAATAGTAGACAGCCATCCAATCTCCAATAATACCCCCAAAGTCACAATATTTTAGTTACCTTTAAAAGGTGAACCAAGGTAAATGAGACAGTCTTCTGTTTAAGGGTATCAACAACAATACATTCAACTGCTAACATTTAACTTTTATTTATTTATATCCTCTTTATCTCACCGAGAATAGCATGCAGATTATATAAATATAAAAGGAATGAAAAATCTGAAGAAAACGAAGCAAGGGGGAAGTAAAGACAGAAAACTGTTTGCGGAATGAATCAAAGCAACAAGTAAAAGGAATAAATACAACACAGGCCAGGAAATCTAGTCCACTTGTTAACTCTCAGCTTTCTGGCAATCAGTGTGCAGAAGAAAACATGATCAGTTATGAAAATTCCAGGGACCATCTGGGAAGAATAAAGCACTTTTTTCTGTGGTTTATTACCCCTGAGATACTGGCCAAGCCATCTGAGTTCTATGATTCAGTTTCTTATCTGTTAACCAAAGCCACTGTGGTTTCCATCACAGGTTAGTCTTGAGGACAAGATCAACAAACAGAGGTAATGTGCTTGGCCCAGTTCCTGGCACATAGTAGGTGCTGAATAAATGTTAGTTTTCCTTTCTCTTATCAGGGATCTAAGACATTAATTGTACTTGCTGCCAGAGCCACTGTAGTCTTCACAATTCCCTCCTTCTCCTCCAAGCTTCCTAAAGAGATAAAATCACCCAAGAAGAAAGCAGGGTTCCCAAGAACCACAGAACACTCAGTGCCTACACAATGCCACCTTCGAAATGGTTTCTTGTCATTCTTTCAATAACTTTAAGCAGGGCTTAGAGGTTATTCTGAAAAAAAAACTCTGAGAAAGAAAAGCTAGACTAAGTCATTAAGTATCAAATAAATGCTTTAACCAAGCAATAAGAAAGAGAGATAATTAGTAAATTCACAGTTAGAAGGCAAACGCTGTTGCTAAAACAGGACGCAGAAACATATTTGGTCTTCACTCTTGAATGGGCTAAATATCCCCTTGTTGATACTAAAGTAGCAGTTGTTTGCTTTGCAGACTCTATTTTTGTGGATGGTAGAGATGCAAAATTTAGACCAGCATGTTTAGTCCTGAGTAGAGGAAACATCATTTATGTTTTAATTTCCTTTAAATATAAGTGTCCCAGATTAACTAACGCGGCTGACCTACCTTTTCTGTGATATAGAAGTTTGAACTATCTGCATGCTGCAGTGCAAAGTATTCATGGTTGGCAAGGGACCACCTGAAAATTACAAGCATAAACGGATCAGAAAAAAACAAAAAAGGGTCATTTTCTTGTTTATAGTTTGACAGAGTTAGATGAAATAAACACCCTATGCTTGGAATTGAGCCAGTACCCAAGTTACCCACAGTGCAGTTCCTAAAACAAAATGGCATTAGCCCCCCTTTCATGACCCTGAGACCAACCATTTCAGATGTGGGTCATCTAGGTGTTATTACAAGCCTATTGCTCACCTTTAGGCATTTTATCTTTTTTTTTTTTTTTTGTGGTACGCGGGCCTCTCACTGCTGTGGCCTCTCCCGTCACGGAGCACAGGCTCTGGACGCCCAGGCCCAGCGGCCATGGCTCATGGGCCCAGCCGCTCCGCGGCACGTGGGATCCTCCCAGACTGGGGCACGAACCCGTGTCCCCTGCATAGGCAGGTGGACTCTCAACCACTGCGCCACCAGGGAAGCCCTAGGCATTTTATCTTCATGGCTTTGAGGGAAGGGTATTTAAATGTAAAGTTCCATTCCTCCCTATTATGAAGGAGTGAGTGGAGCAGAGAGAGGGAAATAAGTGCAATTTAAATTTTTGATAATGGTTACATTTCAATTGTCTCTGTAGTCTACAGTCCCCAATCGGTATGCTTGCTGTAGCTTGGAACATTCCAATTAAGGATCCCAGGTCTTAAATAAATTCCAGGTAATACTCTATTCACACTTCTGCTTTAAAAATAAAAAACCTCATGCAACTTTCATATCAATGTGCTTTTCCTTTGGATTGTCAGAGCAACCCCAGAGAAGTAGGAAAGTTCACTATCATTGTGGAGTTCCACATGGCAGCACAACCACCCATTGACCTGTCTTTTAAATTATTTTATCTTCTATGGGGACCTGAGTGGCCCTCTCATTTTATACCAGATGAAGTGTGTACTTAACCTCAGGAACTTACACTGTTCCCCAGTAAGCAGGATGAATGAACTACAACTTTTCAAAATAAATAGTATCAATTCCAGTGTCCACATATCAGCCATTCTACACTTTCTATTCCTTGAGAAACAGTGATAATTTTTTTGGCTGAAAAGGCATGGAAATCTTACATAGCAATTCTTGGTGTCTTTTGGCAGGTCAAATAGTGACTTAGTGAATAATATTTAATGATTGCTCAAGAATATTTTATTTGCCTTTCAATTTGTGGACTGGAGCTCCCCGCATAAATCCTGAGTAACACTTACCCATCACAGACTTCCTTTATTATTGCAGACAGTGGTTTCTTCTGAAAAATAGAAAAAAAGGAAATACTTTGTGTCAGTTTCATTTCATCATTTTACATAAAAAAAAAGAAGAAGAGGCCTAATAAAGAGATATCTAAGTAAGAAGAATTTACATATGCTATTCTTGGTTGTGTCAGTGAGTGTGTTGTTTTTCTCAAGGTAATAATCGACCAGCCATCACCACCAACTGTATTAATGATTTATCACCCTTGTGGTCATTTTTTCTATACTTTAACATTGCTAATTGAAAAAAACATATATCATATTTAACTTAGCCACATTAAAATCAGGATGAAACATAGCTTTGGTCAAAGATCTCACAGGCAATGACAATCCACAAGGTCAAATGATAACCAGAATTCCTCAAGAGTAGTACATGAATCGGGCAACCAGCAGTTCCATTTTATGCAAACAAGCTTGGATGTGGGATATTTTTACGAGAACATGAGGCAAATGGAATATGAAGCATGGTGACATTGTTCCTACAAAGTGCAGAGAATTCTTCCCCCAACTGTGGCCCATGCAAATGCCAATCACGCAGCGGCTTGAGCAGGACACACTCAAGTCATGGGACCATGACACCATGTGCCATGGTGTCAACTGGCGGCTGACTACAGCTGTGCCTTTGGCCTAACAGCCACAGCTGTGCTCCGCCTGCCTCCAGATTGAAAGAATGTAGTGAAGAGACACACACAGCTCGCCCAGAGATGTCGAAACTCTTTCTGCTTTGGATGCAAACAGACCCTGGCTATCTCCTGGGATGGGCAGTAGTGTGTCAACCAAAGGAACACATTACAGACAAGAAACAAATGGGGAAGAGAAATCAAAGAAATACAACACATAGCCCTGGGTTTTCGGATACAACCACAGAAAAGCATCTAAACATGTTTTCCTCCTGTCCCTCTGAGGGGCACTGACCTATGGGGGAAGGAATTCTGAATCAAGCAGATTCAGTTCAAATCCTAGCTGTGTCAACCTCTCTGCAGTGAGACCTACAATTTCCTTAATTTGCTGAACCTCAACTAACTTACCTGTAAAATGGGCAGAGGACCTATCCACTCCTCAGGGCGGTTATAAGAATTTTAAATTAGATTAAATTAAATTAAATGAGAATTAAAACAAAGGGCAAAATATTCAAAAAAAGGGTTAGGGCTCCACTTCCTTACCCTCTCACATCACTAGAAGACCTTGATTTCCTCTTTGCATCCTTGCCCTTGGACCCGATGCTGCTAGGTCTGCCCTCTTCGTTAGTTCTGAGCACTCTTCATAGCCCTTTCGAAGGGCCTCTAGGCCCTGATAAAAGCTCCAACACAGTCCTCAGTGTTCCTTCAATGCTCTCCCTCCCTCTGGAGCTCTAGGGTCTATGACTAAACCCACCACTATGTTTTCAAAAGAATGTCTGCCTACCCCTACAACTCTAAATGCAGTGGGCAGAAAAGGGACCTAGAATCGTTGAGGGGTGGAAAGATGGTAAGTATTCCTGACATTCTGAGTTGGTCTCCTTTAGAATAAGATTGGAAATGGAGATTGGGCTCTACAGTGAGGTTACAGGTTACACAACTCCTAGACCTTTGCAAGAACTTGTCCATTGTTTATGGCTCTGGCTGTGAGTCAAGGGGCAAATGTGCTCTCACAACCAAAGGACAAAGGAGCTTTAGAAACAAAACTTTTCCCATAAGATGAGGATTTTGCACTTCCAGTTGCCAGTGGCCTCTCCAGGCTATCGGTATTTCATGAGGACCTAGTGGTCTCCTACCCGCCTAATCTTACTTCTTGTACCCTCAGAACTGAAATATAAATAACAGGGCTGGATTTCAGACTTAAATTACATTGAAAGGACAGATCAGGCCAGGAAAGTATTGCTATTGATGTAGGAGAAAGCATTTAAATTACAGCTTTCAGAATTAGAATTCTTAGTCTAGGTAACTTAGAGGAATTTCTTGGATTTTAATTCAGGACTGATTCATAGATTCAGAATCAAATTTGAAAAGACAGAAGTCTATGGGCTTCTAGAACTGTCATATCTAGAACATTCTGAAGTTGGATATATGAAAGGAGTAAAGACTCTGGAAGAACAAAACTTAGAGATTTAATAGAGAAAGATTAAAGAAAAACTTTAAACCACAGAGGAAAAGGAACCATAGTTAACTGAACATAATGCCCTCATAATGCAGCCTCACCAACTAAAATGAATGTTATGTAAGGACAGGGCTGGTCTCACGGCCCACTTCCTACACCTGTCCCCTCCATTCTTTATCTGTTCCAATGAAACGCTGGCTCCACCGCCCAAACCTAATTCCAATGAGTTTTCACAATTCTCATCTCCCTTAATCCATCCACATTATTTGACAATATCATTACTACCTTCTTTTTGAAACACTCTTTCCAGAGATGCTATATTTCCTTCAGTCTCCTACAGTTATAATCAATAATCCTTCAATAAAAGTCAAGAGATCTTTCATCATTTCTCTTTCATCTCTAGCTTCCTAACTCCAAATTTCTGTTCCTGTCTCTTCTGTTTTTACTTAATTGGTCAGTTCCTCATTCATTTCAACTGCCCCAAGTCTATAGCCTGATCCCAAACACCTTTGCAAATCTCTGACAGTTTGTTAGAAATAGCATGTTAACTCTCCTTCAAGCATTTTGTTAAATATACGAACAAAAAATCATCACTCTCACCATTCCCTACCCATCAATCTACCCCGATAATAGCATGCCCCTGCCCCCAAACTCCCTCCATCCCAGCCATGATTTCTGTGTCTTATTATGACATCACCAGAGCCCGGAGCATCATTAACCTTTATTTCTTCACTCTCCAGTTCTGATTTGTTACAGGTGATGTAGCATTTTCCTCTGTGACATTCACATCATTACTTCTCACCTCCTCCTAACCACTCTTCTAAAATCCTGACACTCCTCCTTCCAACTCCTACCAGATAAGTCATACCCCAATTCCATCACCCTTAATTCTGTTTCCTCAGCCCCAGGGCCTTTCCTGAGTACCAGCCCATCATTACTAGCACTAACTACTTGCCATAAGTTTCCAATCAAATGCTCCACTGGTCTATCAAACTCAGATTCCTATCTTCCATTAGTTCCTGCACTTGCCTTGCCTATTTCTGGCAGTTCTTCCGTGTACACTTCTAGGGAACTTATCTTTGCCTTCTCTATTCTGTGACATACGGATATTTATAAGACACTGAGTCCCATCATTCCTTCCTCCACAACCTCTCTCCCCTTAATCCTTTCCAGATCTTACTACCACCTTTGGTTAAGGGTTCTCAGGATCTTGGTGCCATATCCTTGCAAAAAAGTCTTTGCATCTCCAGTTTCTTTGTCTCCAATCCCCACGTTAACTATAATTAGGCAAAATCACTCTTTCCCCACAAACTTAACTCATGTCATTCTTTGGCTCCAGTAGCCTTCATAGATCCTCCACGACCATCACCTATACAGTATAAATCCCTTAGCTTGTCATCCAAGGCCTTCCACAATCTGGTCTCAAGCAGTCAAGCTTTACTAATGTTGTCCGTGTTGCCCATGCTTCTGGATTAGCGGATGATTCATCCAAAAAAATCCCACCCCCATACTTTCACTTAATGCTATTTGTTGAAATGTCCATCTCCTCCTTTCTGTTCCAACTCTAACAATGACACCCCCTCTAAGGAGATGTCCCTGATTTCCCCAGAGAGAGATCAGTCCCTCTGTGCTTAGCACATTAAATATATCACTCCTAAGGACTTAGTATATCTGCCTTATCTTCTTGTCCCTTGAGAACAAGGCACCTTAATTCATCTTTGTAAACTTCTCCACCCCTCAGTACTAGTTGCACAGTATACAGAGGAGACTCAGTACACTTCTGTTAAATGGAAAATCCACACATTCACTAACTTTCCTTTCAAAAACAAACAAACAAAAAAGGCTTGACTGTAAAAGTAAACCATTTCGAAGGATAGCCTGGATTAATCATTAGCACACATCTCACTTCCTACCAGGTAAACCACTGCGGGGTGGCTCTAAGCAGCTGGTCAGGCTCGTGAAGGTTGTCACTACTCCCCTCACAGACCACTCTGTGATTCACAGTTTGGAAGAGCATTGAGTCAGCCAGGTGATGAAGAGTATAATTCAACAGGTATAATTGTCTCCATCCATTAGCAAGGCCACACAGGTAAGCACGAACTACTCCTGTAAACAGGGACTGAATGAGATACCCCAAATACACTCTTCTGGTAGCAGTGCTTTTCTCACTTCCTATACAAAGCCCTCAATTTGACGTGAGCCCCTTGCCTGGCTTAAATTCCAAGCCAAAGGTCGGCTCTATGTTTTAGTTAACATTTGTTCAGGTTACAGAAGATGTTCCTGTCTATCTGCCCAGTTCTCTATGACTTGGAAGTAGGGTGACAAGTGCAATGCCTTGGTAGCTTTTTGTAGACCCACGGAATAATTTGCCTTTTACCTCACTGAGACAAAAGCCCAGGAGAAAAGAAAATTTGATCTAAAAGGATGAAAACTGGTTCCTCTCCCTTTGATTCCATAAACTCTAAAGGAATGAAAACTAAATTCTACACTCGATATGAATATATCTGGATGTAGAATATTGAGGCACAATTATTTTAATTGCCTGAGCATGTTTTCATAACTTAAAAAAATCGTAACTAAATCCCTTAAGCTTTTTGTTCTGAAGGTCAAAACTGCCTTCTCAGACTCAGCAGTGAGAAGGGAAGAGCAGGAATGTTTTTAAGGATAACCCAGAGGGTTAGACAGTTACCAGATTTCCTTGTGCAGGGGACTGGGGATTATGTGCACTCTCTACCCCGTTTCCCTTTAGCAACGGTGAGGTCATCTTGCAGCATGAGAAAGTATTTCTTCTCTTTATATTAATCTGGGAAAATCTTAATGATGGCACAAAAATTTTTATTTGTCAAAGTATGCATTTCCATACGAATTTGATTGGAGAGGTACCATGTGCCAACAGTTCTACTCAAGGGGTAAGCTTTTTCTG